AAAAAAAAAAATTTAAAAGAAAGTGGAGAGGGGGGAATGGGAAGGAGGCGGGGCTGGCACGAAGAGAAGGGTGGGGCCTATGAGATGGCGGCGAGGCCGGAGGGGTGGTGTGGGGCTGGCAGGAAGGCGGGGGCGAGCCAAGTGAGTTGAGTGCAAGCCGCCGGGTGGGGCGGGGCTAGCGGGGAGGGAGGGCGTGGCTGGCAGGAAGGGGCGAGGCCGGCCGGAAGGTGAGGACAGGAAGGGGAAGGGGGTAGGGCTGGTAGGATACCCAGGACTGGGCCTGCCGGATGGGTGGGTGGGGCCAACGGGAATAGGAAGGCGTGGCTGGCGGGAAGGGAGATTGGGGGCTGGGGGCGGGGCCATCGGAAGGCTTGGGCGGGGCCAGCGGGGCGAAGCCGTTTCCTTTATCTTTCTCAATCTGCGCCTAAATTCCGTCTGCTTCAGCCATGCCCTTTTTCGCGACTTCCTCTGCTGCAGTGCCTGTGTTGCTCAGACAAGCCCTCAGGAAGGTGGGGATGCAGTAACTAGCAACGCCTGGGTCCTAGCAGAACAGTCACCGTAACAGTCAATGACCTTAAGGGTCACCAGGGTAACTGCCGCCTTTTATAGACGAGTCTGGAGAGTCTGGTGGTTTGCCCGCCACGCTGCAAGTGGGAGCCAGCAACAGGAGGACACTATTTTGCCACTAAGCCAAGCTGCTAGCAAGAAAGAGCCTTGCAGCACAGGGGTTCCTGGGTGGCTCTGTCAGTAAAGCGCCCAGCTTAGGCTCAGGTCATGATCTCACAGCTCGTGGGTGGCTCGTGGGTTACAGCTCCGGATCTGGCTGTGTGCTGCCAGCGTAGAGCCTCTTTGGATCCTCTCTGTCCCTCCGAGCTCACGCCCTCTCTCAAAAATTAAAAAAAAAAAAAAAAAAAAAGTTTAAAAAATGTTTTCAGAACCTTGCAGCACAGCTAGAATGTAAACTGATACCAAACAAACCATTACTTGTTTCCACTGATGTTTTACAATGTTGCTTGCTGCGCCGGTTGTCAGTGTGTTATCTCTAGCTCCGCGTTCACTCCCATTCCATGCACTGCAGGATGGAGCTGGGCCCTCCGAGCGCTCTTCCCCTGCCAGGTGGGCCATTGCAGAGGTGTGCCGGGGAAGAAACCCCCTGGGAAGCAGTGCGGGAGGAAGGGGCTTTGCTGCCCGGCTCCAGTGAGTTCCCTTGACAGCTGCAGAACGAGAGGCCTCCCCGGAGCCCACCTCCCCGCACCAAGGACGGCTTCTTCTAGCTCCAGGTTCCGCGAGCACCCGACTCCGCGGTACAGGCTGCCAGCACGCTGCTCCAGCTCCTGCCCTATAGCCGCAAAGGCGCGCCCCTGAACAGCTTTCCTGGCACTCCGGAGGGACTGCCAGACGTCCTGCCAGCGCTTCTCCGCCATTTGGTGAGCTGTAGCTAGGCTATCTCCAAGCAAGTTGGACCTCAGCCCTGGGGGTAAGGAGATCCCTTCCCCCGGGGGCTTTATCCCAGCCCTCAGAATAGCGGCTCCTTCTTACCTCTACTATTCTCCCATTCTTCAGAGCTCTCTTTACTTTTACTGGCCTATCCCTTGGACCCTATTTGAGACAGATACCAAATAAATAGCTGGTCCCTAGCACTCCCAAAGGTATTCCAGGCCCTTTGGCATATAGAGCAGAGGTGGGGGAAATGATCTTTCAGTCTTCCATCTGCGTCGTTTGGCACCCACCCCCGCAAACATGAGCAGTGCAGCCCAGGGCTCCCACCCCAGCACGGAGGTCTGGTCTTCTGGGTCTCCCACTAACGTACCTTTTTCTATACTCTCAGTGGGTGGTGCAGCCCATAACACTACTACAGCTTGCGGTAGCCCATGTTTTAGGAAACACCACTCTCCTCCTGTGTCTCCTTTACTCTTAACAGCTACTGCTCCTGCAGCGATTCTGACACCAGCTATGTGACACCAGATCCTGACACCCAGCAATTCTGTGACATCGGCTGGGTATCCCACCGTAACTCACTCTGGCACCATCTACCTGGAGACGGCATCAGATCCACAGGTGGAGGGCTTCATCCTGCAAGACCCCCTACACTTCAGACGCCAACCGCAAGTCCAAAGTGGTATCTGTGCTTCTGACCAATTGGCTATGAATATGAATTGGGGTTCCCATGACCCTCCCTCAGGTGCAATTAACTTGTTAGAGCGGCTCACAGAACTCAGAGAAAGAGTTCACAGACTGTTTACCAACTTATTATAAAAGGATATGACAAAAGCTACAGGTAAGCCTCCAGATGAAAGAGATGTCTGGACCAAGGTATAGGGACGGACACACGGGGGTTCCATGTCTCTCCAGGTCACCAATCCACCAGCACCACCATGTGCTCACCAACCCAGGAGCTCTTTGAACCCAGGGAAATAATGAGGACCCACCAAATGAGAACAAGAAAAGGCTATTTGTTCAGAGCCTGCGATAGTGAGGGAGTCACTCCATCACCTGGCCTGGTAGAGGCCCAGAGGCAGCAAGGGAGGGGGAGAGCTTCATGGTGGAAAAGGGGGACTCAGGGGTGCCCTGATGGGGGCTGTGGGCCTGAGGGAGGCAGAGATGAACTCTAGAGAAGTGGGTCATCTCCTGTGTTCGATTTTCTCTTGGTTGGTCCTTAGTTAGACCCGGGAACAAAAATTAGGTAAGATGTCAGTTATTGACCGAGTCCTGGCCATCTGGCTTATTTGGACTGTCAGAGGGTATTGTATGGCTTTCTGGGTTGTCACCAGAGCCAGCAGTCCGAATTGCCCCAAGTCTGACTTCGAGCAGCCGGCTTCCTGGGCGGGCTTCTGCAGAGGAGGCATTGGTTTTGGGCGGGCTGCTGCAGGCCGTGGGCCTATTTTCATAAATGGTCTGGCCACTGGCCACTTGTATATTCAGTTTCTCATAATAGGCACTGATGAGCCAGTGCAGTGTTAACAGAAAACATTTCTCCCAAGGTCACAACTCAGCTGTGAAGTGTCCTGACAGCCTCTTCCTTCTTACCAGTAACCTCCATAGCCTGCTCTGTGGCCCCACCTCATGAACAAAAATACCTAAGATCCAGTTACTAAGTGGTCCACACTTCGTGACAGCAACCATCTGAAGATGGCCCTCACTTCCCCTCTCCCCTCCTCAGAATTATTCAGTGCAACCCCAAACCTTACAAAATTCCCTCTCCAGTCTCCTCATGAGACACAATGGAGAAATCTCTAGGGTTCTCTCTTTGCAACAGGTTAATAAACCAGACCTGGTCTATTAGGTTTATCCCTAGTGGACTTGACTGTTGGGCATTTTCACCCATCTCAAGTATCTTCTCCTCCACTCAATCTTTGGATGCAGTTTTTCCCTCCTCCAGCCCCAGAATACTTTGTGTGTCCTGGTGCTAGAGTTAATTAGCTAGAGTTAATGTTAGGACATTTCCTCTACTAGACTGTAAGGCCCTTTAGAGACTGTGTGGGATTCCTCTCTGTGTCCGAGTTCTAATGAGACAAATGATGTGCACCTGGCCAGGCAAAGACGGACACAGTCTCCCCTGGTTAAGCTCTCGAGTGTTCAAGAAAGCCCTGAACAAGTGAAGATTTATCTTCAACTGACCCTCTCAAAGACAGTTTTCTATGGACTCATGTCTTGGCTAGATTCCAGCTAATTGGTGTGGGTTTTGTTTGTTTGAAGTTTATTTATTTTGACAAAGAGAAAGAGCGTGTGCACACACACACACGCACACACATGCACACACATGCACACACGGCACTTGAGCAGGGGAGAAGCAGAGAGAGAGAGGGAGAGCGATAATCCCAAGCAGGCTCTGCACTGTCAGTGCAGAGCCCGACTGGGGGCTCAAACTCACGAACTGGGAGATTGTGACCTGAGCCAAAACCGAGAGTCAGATGCTCAACAGAGAGAGCCACCCAGGTGCCCCCCCCCTTTTTTTAAGTGAATCTTTTCACTGTTCTGAAGGCTGACTTCAGTGTTTTCTTTCTTGTCCCTCTCCCCCATCCAGGATCTCCCTCATGAGACTAAAAAGCACATAACTAACGAGAGGTCTCCAAGTTGTCCTTGGACACATGCACCTCATGCCATGCTGTGCCCATGACAAATCCAGTGGGTTGATTTACTCAGCAAAGAAAAGAATTTCAACTCACTTCAAGTGAATTCTCTTTGTAATTTCAAGTTTCCAGGCCTGTAAATGATAAAGGACCAAACCAACTCTAGATTGTGACAGTCCCTGTGGAGTACAGCCACCCTGCGTGGCCTCCTGTGGAAGAGACCCCGCTAGCTCCCCGTTGACATTTCCTTGGCTGTAACTCCTTATGTATTCTTCCAAAGCCAAATTGGTAATATTCTTTTCCAGGCATATATCCCAGTTGGCTTGGAAGAATAGTGGAGTTATTCTTTGGAGATGTGGATTTGAAGAAAGTTCTTTTCGATAGTCTGTTAAGTTGTTAAAATGATGCTGAGAGGTCTGTCTCCCTTTGTGCCTGTCTCATGCACCCTCCCTGTACAACTCAAGTGAGCTTTGGTTCTATGGTATTTAATGTTTCGGCACCCTTTTTGTTTTAGGTGTATTTATTTATTTGGCGGGGGGCAGAGATAGAAAGAATCCCAAGTAGGCTTAGAGCCATCCGTGCAGAGCCCAATATGGGTCTCAAACTCACTAACTGGGAGGTCATGACCTGAACCAAAGTCAGATGCTTAACTGACTGAGCCACCCAGAAGCCACTGGCACTTTCTTATTCTTTGGAAAACAGTTTCCATAGAGCATCGTCTCCTCTCTAGTGAATTTTGTTATGATTTTAGAAAGAAGCTCTTCTCTTTCCGTCCTGGGGAGAGCCCACCTTTTTTGGTCACACATATACACCCACACCCTTACACCGTTTCTCTATCTCGTGGCAGACTCACGGAAGGCAAACAGCACCAAACTCTTGAGCTAGAAAAACCTAGCCTTCCAGGAGATCATGAGCAAGCCTCCTAACCTCTTTCGGTAAATGTTATTTTCCATGTGAGCAATCTGGAAGTAAAACTCCTGCCCCGTCTCATGAGATTTAATAAAATACATAATGGGATTCGTATACGCTGAAGTGCTTGAATGGAATTAGCAGGTGCCGTAAGTAAAATGAGTTTCGAGCACTGCTCAGCTCTTCTTTACTTACAGAACTCCGTTCTCGCCTTGCGAGCCTGATCCCTGATCCCAGACCCCCGAACGTGCAGTCCGTGCCCCCGGTCCCCTCGGAGAAGGCCCTACAATCTCCGACCAGCCACACCCTTTCCGGCTTCAGTACCTTCCCCGGCGCGGCCCTCCCAACCCAGTCAAGCGCTCCACAAAAGCAGAAGAGAAGGAAATACTTTTATTTCAGCGAAAGAATAGACCGGGACGGGCTGCGCACCACGGGCAAACCGCTCACGGGAGGCGACGACAAAGAAAGCGCTCTCGCGCTCAGCCCAGCGGGACCGGCCCTGTCCGCCGGCCGTGCGCCCTCCCCGCGCCGGGACCCCGGATCCCTGAGCCGTCAGGGACACCACTCGAGCGGAGAGGGCCGTGAGGCGGAAAGGGGGGTGCGCACCCCGATGGGAGCGGACAGGACGCGGGCCCCCCACTCCACGCCCCCGCGGCCCCGGACAGCCGTTACCCGACTTCCGCCCGCGTCCTCCCGGTGGCCGACTTCCGGCGCGCTGCGTGACGTCATTGCGGCCGGCTTCCGGCGCGCTGACTTGTGTTCGGCGCTGCCATGTGTCGCTGGCGACAGGAGGCTGCCGGGGGGCCTGGGCATCCGAGGCCATCGCGGGTACCCGGCGGCGCTCGCGCCCTGCTAAGGCCAGAGGAGGATCGGCCGTGGGGGCAGCGCCGCGGGGATGGGGTCGCGGCCGGGGGCGGCGTCCCGGCGCCGGCTGACCGCGTGTCCTCCTCGCGGCGCTGTCTCGGGGAAGTGACGCCGCTCACGCCGCTGCTCCCCGGCCGACGGCGCCCGCCACCCCGCTTTCACCGGAAGCCCTTGGCGGAATCCGCCGAGTGTGCTCGGGGGGTCTCGGCCCGCCGTTCCGGAGACTGATCGCAGCTGGGGAGTACTTGCCGGGAAGACTGGCAGGAGGGCAGCTCTGGGTAATGACCGGTCGTACGGCTGTTTCTCTGCTCTTGGAAGTTGAGGGAGTTCCGCTCAGGAGCTCCAGGGTCGTGGGGGACAGCGTTGAAGGTAGCGCCTCCCGTCTGGTGTGCAGGCCGGGCCGGTGCCCCAGGCCTAGGGGCTTTCGGGCAGGTGAGCGGCAAGCCTCCAGCGTGCCTGGGTCTGGGGTGGCCCCGTGCATTCCTTCAGTGCTTGCAAGAACATTGGGAAACGGTTTGAGGCCTTGCCCTGCTCCATCCAGAGCAAGGTTATAGACATTTCGAACAGATCACCGCGTTTTTTCCATTTCTGATGTGCTGCACGTTGTAAACATCTGCAGTTGCCACGTGAGTTTAGAGGAAGTAAAGTTTCAAATCCGGGTTTTTATTCACTGCTCACCTGGCAGGTGCTCAGGAGACACACCTTTGGCAAGTGGCTACCGTTGGAGACCATGCAGCTCACAGAACGTTCACATCTACAGAAGTTATTGTGGATTTGGGGGTGTTTGCTGTGTTCACGCTCGCTGCAGATTTTATTTTATTGTCCTTAAAAGCCTTGCAAAAGTTGGAGATGAAGTTTAGGGGGAGTGGTAAAGGGGGAGCCTCCGGGAATGATGAGTGGAAAACAGTGCCAGACGAGCCCGGTGGGATGGATGGATGGATGGGATATCACAAATTGTAGGAAAAAAACGGTGAAATTCTGCAGTGGGGCTGCTGGAGGGTGAAGCCAGCGTGTGCTCATCTTAAAGGAGGGCACCCCTGTTGGTCTTTGTTCTTCCCCCAGTTCAAATCCTTGGGGACCCCCGAGAGGTGGTCTTGGGTCCAATATGGAACGGGCCCACGTCCAGGGTTGCCCAGCCAGAAACTGGCAGATCACGATTTCACAGCAGGCCTCTCCCACCCTACTTACTGTCTGCCCTTTTCCAGATGCCAGACCCAGAGGGAGGAGTGGAATCTGGAAGCGGGTGGGAAGCTTAGGTGGGAGGGGAATGCCCGGGGTGTCCTGGCCTTGGAGGGCTGTTGGGTGCTGTCAGGGATGGGCCAGTGTGGTCATGGCAGGGCAGCATAGCTCCTCTGGGTGGCCGGGTCACACCACGTCTCCTCTGAAGGTTGAGGCTTTCAGCAGACTTGGGATCTGCCTCTTCAGTCCACGTGCAGACGCTGACCACACCGGCCTCGAGGACACACTCAGTCTCATGTTTCTGCGGTCCTGTGAGCAAGGCATTGACTGAACTCTGGCCCATCTTCAGATGTTCAAATAGCAGCCAGCTTTGGGACATACAAGGGAGTGCCTCCCTCTGGGGCAGAGAGCAGGTAAAAGGCTTGGCTTTCCTGTAACACGCAGCCCTCCCTGTCTGTGGGTGTCTTCCGGCTCCCCTGGTGGGAATTGGGACTGGGGGAAGATGCCGACGCCCTGACTGCTGCTGCTGAGAAGGGTCAGCTCTGTAATCAAAGGGCCTTTGTGTCCTATCAGCATGCTTGAAACTGGCGGGCCACTTTGTCACCCTGCCCAGCACATGACAGTACTGTCCGCGGTCCCCCAGTGTGTCAGCCACCGCAATCCCAAGACGCAAGAGCCCTGAGAGATGGCCTCGGTGGCTGCCAAGCCATTCCTGGCATCTGCAGTGGTGAGTGTGCTAGAGAGGTCTGTCTTCACTTCACCTCTACTAATTTCCCTGAGTCCCCTGCCGGAGAAGTTCAAAACCATCAACTTATTCTGATCTTCCCATATTGAAAATCAGATGATGGAGTCCCACAAAGATTAATTGCTTTCAAGCTCACGAGACTATTTTTGGACGATAGTGGTCTAATACCTGGACTCCTCAGGCCCTGATTCTTTGGCACGGTATTGATTGCCTTGGTGGTTTTGGATTCGACCTGCAGCCTTTTCCCCAGGAACCTCCGGGGTTGGTGGTGTGCTGGCCTGGGAAGTCCAGGCTGCTGCTGAGTCCCGTCACAGGGCTGGTTAGCTCACGGTGTGGCCAGGGGTGTGGATCCTGGTCCAGTTCTGTCCCTGCCTCTATGGCAACTGACATTTGGGAGTCCCTGGCTGTGCTCAAGTTAATTTTTCATAGCAGGCCTCCAAGTCCCTCCTCCTCCTGCCTGAAGGTGTGGCCTCACCACAGACATGCCCTTGTGCTGCTCCCATTCTCAAAGCAGGTGCGAGTCCTGGCATGCTCCCCTTCATGGAGGCAGCTGGAATTTTTTGTTTTCTGCCCAGGCTGGGGTCAGGGTGGCCTGGGGCCTGGTGTGCAACTCTAACTGGCGTTCTCTGATCTCAGGTTTGGATGCCGCTGCGCTGTCTGCTTCCAAAACAAGGCTCGTCACTGTCATTGTCACCCCGGCCCCTCTGACAGCTCCTGTGTGGGAAGATGAGGATAGTTAATAAAATCTTTTCAGTGTGTGGTTCAGCCCGGAGGGGTCTCCTTTCTTGTCACTCCTGTCTTTGCAAATGGCTGTGTAGGTGATGGGGCGCCAGCCCCCTACCATCAGGAGCTTTACCTGGAGCCTCAGAGCAGCCTCTGCTGCCTTGACGGATTTCCTTCCCCTCTAGTCCTCACCAGCGCGGTGAGACCTGGGTGTGGGGCACATCTTCACACCTGCACACACATGCAGGTGGCCAGGCCCATGTGTGGGCTGACACTCAGTGTGAGCGATGCACACGCAGTTGACTTGTTGGAAAACTGACGCCGGCCCTCTGGTGGACTACACCTGCCCACTCCCAGGTTTAGGGGTTTATTTAGCTCATGTTGGTGAGGCTGTTGGCAAGGAATGTCAGCAGGCCCGGCTTGCATCAGAAAACATGTGCGGTCATGCATGCGGTCAGTCTGTTAACTGATAGTGTGAATGCACAGTGCCCACAGGTGTAACTCCAGGCCACACCAGAAGTGTACTTTCTGGGAGGAAACCCCCGGGGTGGAGGGGGAAGAGTGGGCGGTGGCTGACAAGGTGCCCTCCCTGGTGGGGCCTTCCCTGCAGCAGCCTGCGGTTCGGTACGCCCTCCCCAGTCAGGTGGGTGTAAATCTTTTTTTTTTTTTTTAACGTTTATTCATTATTGAGAGACAGAGCATGAGTATGGGAGGGTCACAGAGAGGAGGAGACTGGGAATCTGAAGCAGGCTTCAGGCTCCAAGCTGTCAGCACAGAGCCTGACACGGGGCTCAAGCTCACAAACCACGAGATCATGACCTGAGCCAGAAGTCGGACACTTAACTGAGCCACCCAGACACCCCAGATGGACGTAAATCTTGAGTGATCTGGGAACCTGCCAGGGAGAAACCAAAAAGATCAAGGGCATCAGCAGGGGCCAGGGTGGGGCCGGGAAGGAGAGGGACCTGGCTGAGGGAGGCATCTTGGAACTTCCGCTGACCCCATGAGGTCAGAAGAGTGAAACACCCCCTGTGCTCCTGCTCAGTGCCCCAGCTGAAATCCCACAAGGGGTTTGTCGTGCCCCCCAAGATGGGGAGGCAACCAGGAAGGGAAAGGACTTGGTGTGATGTCATCCCCATCTCCAGATAAGAGTGGTTAGGCCCGAGGTCACACTGACAGCCCATAAAGCCCATAGCAAGCTCCGCCCAGGGGCCAAATCCCCAAGCTCAGGATGGTCTTGACATTTCTACCAGGAAAAACCCAAAGAGAACTATCCAGTGGTGTGAAAATTGATTCCGTTCAGGTTTTTGTGTCCCTGGAATTTCAGACCTCACCTGAGTTCCTCTAGTGTTAATGCATGCTGGGGGACGGGGGACCCCATGGGTTGGAGATTGGGGAAGTGACATCCTGGATCAAGATTCTCCTGAGCACTGGTGTGGAAAAGCCCTTCAAAAGCACCAGGCCTGTCTTGATGGAAGGGCCAGGCCAACAGCTCCCAAGAGAAGAGGGTGTGCAAGGGTGCCCGCCCAGTTTAATCAGGCATTTGAATAAGCATTTCCCAGTCTTACTAGGTTGTATTCATCTTAATGAATTTGAGGGGCAAAAAAAAATCCCTTAACTTGCATGTCGGTTACTGCAGTTCAAAAAGTGGGTTCATTGAAAGGCAGTTATTAAACAGACTAGTTGAGTACAGGCCCCCGAAAGCATCCCACGGATGACTCAATTTTGGCCGATACTCTGGCCTCTGCATGACCCAGCGGGTGGAGACAGAACTGTCCGCCTGGAGGATGCCATGGGGTCAAGGAGGCTGGAGACAAATCTGAGCCAGCCGGTCTGCCCATTGTAGAGAGCTCTCTACTATTCCTGATACTTACTACTGAAGGGATAGGCCGGGGGAGGGGGGGACAGGCTTCCTGTGGCACCTCAGCCTCAGCCTCAGCGTGAGGATCCCAGGCCACCAGCCCTGTGGTGTGGTGCAGTCTGACCTGGAGCAGGTGTGGCCTTGCACAATTACATCTGGTGTGGCCTTGCACAATTACAAGAATGTTATTCTAGACCCCAGCCCCAAGCTCTGGGCCTCAGCATTCCCCACTCTTAATCAAGACACAAGGTACCCACCCTAAAACGCACCTAGTGTTGAGCTCTGAGAGTTCACACACATGGGGTTGGCAGCCATGACCACGTCAAGCCACACGAGTGACCCTCCCCCCTGCTTGGGCCAAGGCGTGGGCATAGAGACCACAGAGGGTCCAAGCTTACTGAGGCAGTCAGCAGAAACCTTCCAGAGCCCCCAGTGCCTCCACCGTCGGGAGACCGCCCTCTGGGTGGGGGAACCAGGAAGCAAGGGTGAAAGCCCCTCTCAGGAGGGAGTGGCAAGGGGGGAGGGCAGCCCCTCCCCAGGGCCAGAACCCACTTCCTCCTTTACCACACGCGCCCAGGGAGACAGGCCCAGAGGGCTGGGCCTGCTCCCAGCACCCTCCCCTCTGTCCCTCTGCACAGGAAGGTCGGGGCCACCTGGCCCGGGTGCCTCCCGCCAGCAGGATGGATGAGGAAGGCCCTGACTGCGGCAAAGCCGACTTTGTGCTTTTGGACCAAGTGACCATGGAGGACTTCATGGAAAACCTAAAGCTCAGGTGAACGCAGGGCACCGGGCCCCCTCCCCCACCCCCAAGCTCCCTGGTCCCTGTCAGCCCAGGTTGGGGGGGTGGTGCTTACACACACACACACACACACCCGGACCACTGTCTGGGTGACTACAGGGGGACCTGGCCGGGCACGAAGGACAGTCCTCCCAGGGCAAGGGTGGCCAGCCAGTGATGGGCCGGCTTCCCAGACCCCTGCCTTCCACACAGTCTGGCTGCCTTCTGCCCCCTCCTGCCCAGCAGGGACTGGGAGGGACCGGCAGGTGCCAGCCCCGACAGGGCACACAGTCTCTCTGGCCAGCCAGGGATTGTGCTGGGCCCTGCCCTGCCCCCCCCCCCCCCCCAGCCGAGGGAAGCGAGCAGGCCCTGTCCCGGGGTGTAGCTGAGATGATGCTCAGGGGGGCGCATGGGGTGCTGGGGTGCTGCAGGGCGTGGCTGCTAGAAGTGACATGGGGTCTGATTTGCCCTGCAGGAGCCAGGGGATAGGGAGATGGGGTGGCCACCAGGACCCGGACAGCTGGACGGCCAGGGGGAACAGAAGGCGGCTGTGGAGCTGGGGGGCACCACCCGCCCGGCACACGTTGTTGAAGGAGGAGGACAGGAGAAGAGCTATTTTGTCCAGGGCTAAGCATAACCTCACTTCATTCTGACAACCTAGCCCATGAGACGGGAGGGCATCCCCAGCTCCATTTTCACGATGGAGCACTGAACCCGGCCACATGGTTCGCAGGGGGCAGATCAGGCGACAAGAGGGTGTGTGGAGGGAGCTGAGCTGGGGGACTCCCTCTACTGAGGCGGCAGCAGAGGAAGAGGAACCCCTGACAGGGACGGGCCACAAGCTGCTGGGGCAGGGCGGGTCCCAGACCGCTGGGGAGCAGGCAGCCCCGGGTGCCTCCCAGGGCAGAAAGGTCAAGAGGGGGAGGGATGTAGGTCTTGGTGGGGGGTCCCGAAAGGAAGGGCTGAGAGGTCTGAGGACGTGCAGGGGGAGGGGCCGCAGCCCTAGGCCCCCTCCCTGCACTCCTCCCCAGTCCCAGCCATCTGGGTGGGGCTGGGCGGGGGCCTCAGGACGGAAGCAGCCCGAGTCTCCTCCCACTGCCTCCCAGCCCCTTTCTCCTCTCTGACCTCGACCACCTGGCTCCACCTTTCCCAGTGTGGCCTTGGCAAATCGGCCTTTCGTGAAGTGGGTGGTCCTGATTCCTGGTACCCCCGTGGAGAGCAGCGTGGACCCCAACGTGACCCTGCAGCAGGGGTGGGGTTCCAGCAGGATGGCACCGGGAAGTCTCAGATCACCCCGCACCCGCTTCCCACTCTCAGCCCTGGGGTGGTCTAGGGCCCCTCCAAGGCTCCCCACAGCGGCCCACGGCCCCAACACCTGGGTGTACAACCCCAGTCCTGAGCGCTGAGGCCCGGCCCCTCCTGTGCCAGGTTCGAGAAGGGCCGCATCTACACCTACATCGGCGAGGTGCTGGTGTCCGTGAACCCCTACCAGGAGCTGCCCCTGTACGGGCCTGAGGCCATCGCCAAGTACCAGGGCCGTGAGCTCTATGAGCGGCCGCCCCACCTCTACGCTGTGGCCAACGCCGCCTACAGGGCAATGAAGCGGCGGTCCAGGGACACCTGCATTGTTATCTCAGGTACGTGCCCCGTCTCCATGGCCCAGGTAGCCTAGCCTCCCCGGACCCGGTGGAGGGGGGTGCACAGGGAACCGGTCAAGGGGAGCAGCCGCTAATTCTGTCTGACTGTCCGTCTGCCCTGCAGGGGAGAGTGGGGCAGGGAAGACAGAGGCCAGCAAGCACATCATGCAGTACATCGCTGCCGTCACCAACCCCAGCCAGAGGGCAGAAGTGGAGAGGTGAGAGCAGGGAGAGCTGGCCAAGGGGTGGCTCTGGGTGTAACGCCTAGAGGGGAAGACCCATAAGAGTTAAGTGGGCTCATCTGTCAGGAGGGCTCCAGGTGACCCGCGCAGGCCCTCTCAACCCCGGGGGAGGCAGGCCCAGTGCCAGGGGGATCCACCGCCAGGAACATGAAGAGGCAAGGTGCACAGGGCCAACAGACAGACGCTGGGCCCTCAGGCTGACCCCACAGAAGGGAGTAGTTGCCCGGACGGTCAGGAAGGGCCTGGCCCAGATGAGGGCCCGCCTGTCCACCTCCTTGCCCGCTGCTTACCGGCTGTGACTGGTGGGGCCACGTGGGAGCAGCTTCCTGTGTGAGAGCCCCAGTTCTTCCTGGGCCCTTCCTGTCGAGAGGGCCAAGGTGGAGTTCCGGGGGCTGGGGCCCAGTGCTGGAAATTCTGGGCCACCCTGGGACTGGAGGTGCATGGAGGTGCAGGGCGGGGGGTGTGCTGTCCTCCCTGCAGGCTGCAGGTGCCTGGGAGGCAAGGAGGTGCACTTCCGAGAGCACCTGGCAGGTGGCCTTCCCAGCCCGCAAGATGGGAGGCAGCAGGCAGGGGTGCCGGGTCTGCGGCCTCCAGCCTGGCCCCCCTGTCCCGCCAGGGTCAAGGATGTGCTGCTCAAGTCCACGTGCGTGCTGGAGGCCTTCGGGAACGCACGCACCAACCGAAACAACAACTCCAGCCGCTTTGGCAAGTACATGGACATCAACTTCGACTTCAAAGGAGATCCTGTCGGGGGGCACATCCATAGCTACCTGCTGGAGAAGGTGGGCCCTGCTGCCTGGGGTCCGGGGGCAGGACGCACTTTCTGGGAGGTGCCAGGCTCTGAGGGGGCCCCCTCTGCACCAGGCCTGCCTCACCCACTCTGCCCGCACCACCCTGGGGGCTCTGGGAGGGGTCCCCTGCGTGGGGCCAGGGCCCAACTGCCCTTCTCTCCTCAGTCTCGGGTCCTCAAGCAGCACGTGGGCGAACGGAACTTCCACGCCTTCTACCAGGTGAGCCAAAGCAGGGGTGTGGTGGCGCCCAGGAGGGCCTTCCGACTGCCCCACCCACAGCCCATTTCCCTCCCGGTCTCCCCTCTGCTGTGATACCGCCAGTTCCCTACCCACCCTGCGGCTGGGGAGCTCCCTGGACACCATCGGGACGGTGTCTACACTGGGTGAGGCCCCCTGGATAGGATCTTCCTGGACTCTGGTGGTGTTTATATCATGCCTGACTGCTGAAGCAGGATATTTCTGTACTCCCGTGGTGTCTACAGCATGTCTGACCGCTGGACTCAGGCAGTGTCCACACTGTCAATGAACTCCCTCGGTTTTGTCCTCCTGCACGTTTGCGGGGGGAGTCCTTGGAGTTCGGAGGGCCTGACGAAGGGGTGTGCCTGACCTCCAGGTCCTGCGGGGCTGTGAGGACTCACAGCTGGAAGACTTGCACCTGCAGAGGAACCCCGCCCTGTACAGCTTCACCCGGCAGGGAGCAGGGCTCAATGTGAGTGGGGGTGGGGCTCCGCAGGAGCACCAGGGTGCCCAGGCTCCATGGCACCAGGTGCCAGGGCACTGGGTATAGGCAGGCGGCAGGACCACAGAGGCCCCGATTTGACGGGGATCCACGGGGAGAAATTGGGGGCTTTGCGTGGGGAGGGGTGCAGCAGGTGAGCAGGCAGGACAAGTCAGAGGCATCACGGGCTCAGCGTGGCACCGGGAGGCTGAGCCCCTCCGTCTGCAGCCCTTGGACAGTGACGAGAGGAGCCACCACCAGGCAGTGATGGAAGCCATGCGGGTGATCGGCTTCAGTCCCGAGGAGGTGGACTCCGTGCGCCGGATCCTGGCCGCCATTCTGCACCTGGTGAGCCCGGCTAGGGGCTGAGGGGCCGTGGTGTCCTAGGGCCACCCCTGGAGGAGGAGACTGGCCTCTGGCAGTCCAGCCCCATAGCCAGCCCTCTCCTGGAGGCCGCCCCGAGCTGGGGGTTTTGTGTGCCCACGTACGGGTCAGGCCTGCAACATGCCACGTCCGTGTCTGAGCATCCTGCGGATGCCTCTTGCACCTGTCATTTGAGGTCTGTGTGGCTTTAGGCAGTTGCTCCACCCCTCTGAGCCTCTCTGTGAGTTGGCTTGAAGAGCAGGGGGCACATAGAGGGTGCAGGAGGACGCAGCAGTACCACGGATGTAATGTTCTGGGTGGGAAGCCTTGGAGAAGGCTCTACTGTGCGCTGTGGGCCACTCCCTCATCTGGGGCCACTCCCCTGGCAGAAGCCAGGCCCCCCCACACCCCTATCCCTGCCTGTCCTTTCTTCTCCCTGGGTAGAGGTGTGCAGGCAGGCTCCTCTGGGATCTGGGACGGGGAGCCTGACTGTCATGGCTCGCTATCACCAGGGAAACATCGAGTTTGTGGAGATGGAGGAGGGCGGGCTGGAGCAGGGGCATGTGGCCGTGGCCGAGGAGGTGTTGGTGGACCACGTGGCCGAGCTGACGGCAACGCCCCGGGAGTCGGTGATGCGCTGCCTCTTGTCTCGCACTGTGGCCTCAGGAGGCAGGGAGCTCATTGAGAAGGGGCACACGGCTGCAGAGGCCAGCTATGCCCGGGACGCTTGTGCCAAGGTACTCTGGGGGCAGGCTATGGGGAGGGAGGCGGGGACACCCAGGAGGCCTTCCCAGAGGAGGCAAGGACAGACGCAGCTCAAAGCAGCTGGCTCCTGGCCTCCCCCCAGGCAGTGTACCAGCGGCTGTTTGAGTGGGTGGTGAACCGGATCAACTGTGTCATGGAACCCCGCAGCCGGGACCCCCGGCGTGACGGCAAGGACACAGTTATCGGCGTGCTGGACATCTATGGCTTCGAAGTGTTCCCTGTGAACAGGTGGGCGGCCCAACCACCGCATCCCACGCTCTGACCCCAACCTCTAGGGCCGCCTTAGTCCCATGGAGCTCCGCAGGGCTAGGGAGCAGGATGTGCAGCGTCTGTCTGTCTCAGCTGGTCCCTAGCCCCAGGCTTATGCCCCCGAGTGTGCCTCAACTGTGCTTCCCATCCAGTGGTGCCCAAGAAGGCAAGATTTGGGGCTCACTTCCCCTGGCCATGACTCCCAAATCCACTCTGGAGCATTGGAGGGGTGGGGGGGGGTCTGGAGCGGGAGATGCTCCCCCACAGTGGGGCGGCTCGGGGGAACTTCAGGGGAGCTATTCCGGGAGGGGCCGCCGTGGGTGCATGGGCTCTACACAGAGCAAACAGCCCCTGACGGGCCGGCAGGGCGAGTGAAGGGCGTAACTGCAGGCCCCTCCGCTGCCCGCAGCTTCGAGCAGTTCTGCATCAACTATTGCAACGAGAAGCTGCAGCAACTGTTCATCCAGCTTATCCTGAAGCAGGAGCAGGAAGAGTACGAGCGGGAGGGCATTGCCTGGCAGAGCGTGAGTGCCGGCAAGGGTGTGCGGGGGCCACGGGGGGCGGTGCGCACGGGGGCCCTGGGGCACGGAGTGGCCCAGGCTCACGGGCACACTTGGAGACGCCAGCCGCTCTGCAGGTGGACTACTTCAACAACGCCACCATCGTGGACCTGGTGGAGCGGCCCCACCGTGGCGTGCTGGCCATGCTGGATGAGGCCTGCAGTGCCGCGGGCACCATCACTGACCGGATCTTCCTGCAGAGCCTGGACACGCACCACCGCCACCATGCACACTACACCAGCCGCCAGGTGCTCCTCTGCCCCCTGCGGCCGCCCCCGCCCCACCTGTCCCCAGCTGGTCCCTGTCTGAGCCCCACAGGCACCGTGCTGCCTGTCTTGGTGGGACCTTGGTGGCCAGGCCTCCCCTCAAGGACGGTCTTCTGTGCCAACCCCTGCCCTGTACCTTGACCCTGGCCCGCCCCCTCCCCAGCTCTGCCCCACAGACAAGACCATGGAGTTTGGCCGAGACTTCCGGATCAAGCACTATGCAGGGGATGTCACGTAAGGCCCTCTCACCATTTTTTTTTTACTTTTTCTTAGTTTATTTATTTAGTTTGCGAGAGAGAGTACAGCAGGGGAGGGGCAGAGAGAAGGAGAGACACATTCCCAAGCAGGCTGTCAGCACAGAGCCAAGTGTGGAGCTTGAACTCATGAACCTTGAGATCATGGCCTGAGCTGAGATTGAGAGTCAGACACCTAACCGACTGAGCCACCCAGGCACCCCATCTCCCCTTCTTGCACGCTTGAGACGTGCCTGTCAGCAGGTACACAAGTGAAACGCATGAAATGGAGGTTTTAAGATCAGAGCTCTCAGTCCTGCCTGCAACATAGAATCCTCTGGAAGCTTTAAAAGATGCTCTCATCTAGGCCCCACCCCATGCTGGTGCTGGGGGAGGGACACGCTATTATGGAGGCATCCTCCCTGGACGTGCAGGTTGGGAGCTGGGGGTGCGGCGCAAAGGGGCCAAAGTCAGTGTTTCCAACAAGCTCAGTACCAATGCCCGCGGAGTCCTTCAGAAATCTCCGTGCTATTTTTACAAATTTACCTGTTGCTCACCTCATCCGGACTGGGACTTGAGGTGGCCCACAGGGAGAGGCACAAGTGTCTACTTGTCCCTCACAAGGACAAGAAGCGGAGAAGACAGTGCAGCCAGAGGTCAGACCCCATGCCCGCAGCCTTTGCCGGAGCCCCAGGTGGAGCCAAGAGTTTGGCCCTGAGCAATTTCTAGCCTTTGTCATCAAAGGGCAAGACAAGGAATCTGAGGTTCTTGGTGCCACAGTCAAAACAGACCAATGAGTCAGGAGTTCCTCATTTAATTGCTGCCACTGATACTTACAGAAACTCAGTAGGCGCTGTTCTGAGCATGTGATGTGTATCAGGGCACAGACGGGTTGTCACTGGTCCCAGGCCACACAGCACGTATGCACTAGAGCCAGGGTTCAGTACCGTGGGCACAACCACCGACTCATATTCCTGGAGGGAGGCTCTCAGAGAGGGGAGTCTTATGTGGGTGTTGGGGGGGGAAGGGGGGAGGCTGGTGGGGACTTCCTGGGGCTGTCAGAGGCCCCTCACCAGCCCTGCCTCTGCAGGTACTCAGTGGAGGGCTTCATCGACAAGAACAGGGACCACCTGTTCCAGGACTTCAAGCGGCTGCTGTACAACAGGTGTGTGGGCCAGAGGTGCAGGCCGAGCCCCAGGGCTTCAAGCACGACATGCTTTCAGACGCCCAGGTCTGACACCCGCCTCATGGGCTGACAGCCTGAGGTTTAACACGGAGGCCACAAAGCTTACCAGTAGCAGAGCTGGGGCGGGGCTGCCCTCCAGAGGGCGGCTGGGGATGTGGCCTGTGTTTGCAGCTCAGACCCCACCCTGCGGGCCATGTGGCCAGACGGGCAGCAGGACATCACAGAGGTGACCAAGCGCCCCCTGACAGCCGGCACCCTCTTCAAGAACTCCATGGTGGCCCTGGTGGAAAACCTGGCCTCCAAGGTACTGCCTCCTGCCCCTGCCCCCGCCTTGGATCTTTCCAGGTCCTTCTGTCTGTGCCTGTGCATCAAACTGCGCCCCCCCCCCCCCCGCCAACTTCTGCACATCTTGGGAAAGGTGGTGTTCACCTCCTGCAGTGAGCTGCACCCCACCCCCACGCCCACCTCCACCAGCCAGCAGGAACCCGCCACAGTGCCAATGACATGTCCTGGGCTGGGCTGAAGCCTGAGTAAATTCGTGGTTTGAAGCCTCTTTCCTGTCCCCACCGCCTAGTGCATGGGCGGGACTCACAGGGACAGGAAAGCAGCTTCTTGGGGAGCTCAAAGTCAAAAGGGACCTCAGGAAGACCCCAGAGCCTGCTTAGCCACAGAACATGTGGACATTCAGCCTGGCCTCTGCGGAGGCAAGAGGGAGGCCAGCACAGCCCCTCAGCCTCCCGTTTCCCCTGCAAGAGCCCCTTCCCATACACACAGTGAGGGAGTGGGGCAAGGGGCACACCTGCCAGGTGGCCGGGTGGGGGGGCTGACGCTGGTCTCCCTGAGTGTCCTCTGTCGTGGCAGGAGCCTTTCTACGTCCGCTGCATCAAGCCCAATGAGGACAAGGTGGCCGCAAAGCTGGACGAGGGCCACTGTCGCCACCAGGTCGAGTACCTGGGGTTGCTGGAGAATGTGCATGTCCGGAGGGCCGGCTTTGCTTCCCGCCAGCCCTACCCTCGGTTCCTGCTCAGGTACCACTCCCTGTGACTAGGAGCCCCATCCCCCCAGTGTCTGTCCCCCATGGGCTCCAGTGAGGAGTCTGAGGGGTAGGCAGAGGGTCCCAGATGCAGCCAGGGCCCCTCAGACGCAGACACGCAGGACACTGGCAGCAAGGACCCTTGCAGGACAGGACAGGGTGGCCATGGGCTGGAGTGAGTGGCATGTGGGGCGGTGGCATGGGCCAGGTGTGACAGGCCAGAATGGGGCGGCTCCACACCTGTCCCTAGAGCATGGCGCCCACCGCCCCGTCCTGCATCACAGGTACAAGATGACCTGTGAGTATACGTGGCCCAACCACCTCCTGGGCTCCGACAGGGCAGCCGCGAGTGCCCTCCTGGAGCAGCACGGGCTGCAGGGCGATGTGGCCTTTGGCCACACCAAGCTCTTCATCCGCTCACCCCAGACTTTGGTCACACTGGAGCAGAGCCGCGCGCGCCTCATTCCCATCATCGTGCTGCTGCTGCAGAAGGTGTGCCTGGCTGGGTGCCCACCATGGAGAGTGTGGGGAGAAGGGTGTTCACCTTGGGGGGAGGGGGGAGGGGTGTGCACCTGGAGTGGGGAGGGATGTGCACCTGGAGTGGGGAGGGGTGGGTGTGCACCACCTGGAGTTGGGGGTGTGCGTGCACCGACGGGCCCACAGGCGCACCGACGGGCCCACAGGCACACCTCCAGGCACCACAGGAATCCCCTTTAGCCAGAGACAGACCAGGACTAAAACTGACTTAATCAAAAAGTATGGCTGTGGTTCAGTTCACCTCAGTCCTTGAGGCTGTCGGTTCCAGGCTGGGGTGGATCCAGGTGCTCAGAACAAGATTTTTAGGAATCTGGCTGCCATCTTTTTACCTTCCTTTTTTTTTTTTTTTTTTTTACTTTTTTTTCTTTATTCTAAAAGTCTTGGGACCTGGACAAAACCATGCATGCTGGTGCTCCAAACTCCCCCACCTACTCCCCGCAATCAGTTGTGTCACCCTGTGACCAGTGTGGTTTTCTGCAGACACCTGCACCCCACCTCAGTTCTGTTCAAGCAAATCATTTTGTTTAGAGTCGTTTCAGGATGTGTTTCTAAAGGATGGGGATGCCGCCGTGTCTCTCCCTGTTTAACATTTTAAACCTACTGAAAAGTCAACAAATTTCTCTGATTACTTACTGTCCACCTGGACTGCTACATCCTGTGCCCTCTACCCCACCTCTGTGCGTCTGTCCCCACACCCACATTCAGACACTCATACACGTGTATTTCTGTTTTCCTGAATTCTATAAAGTAATGACCCCCCCAAATATCTCAGCACACATATCCTAAGAACAAGGATGTCAAACCATGCTGACCTTAGCAGACAAGAAACCTAACGCTGATAAAACATCATCCGTATATCTGAATCACACGCAGCCTGTGTTCAGGTTTCCACAAATGTCCTACTGTTACTTCTCACATCTTTACAAACCCAGCCAGTGACAACACACTGCATTTAATAATTGTTAGCTTTGCTCTCTCTTCTAACACATAGGAGGTTTTTAGGAACAGGACACAATACCTCTGTCACAGAAACGGGACTCAGGAGACTCACACTGGGTCCTTGTGGCCCCATGTTTCCAGGGCTGTCCACAGTGCCATCCATCCTGTCCTCCATCTGTTTGAGTCTGGGCTGCCTGCTGTGGGGCTCCAGTCTGGGTTTTCATGGTTGTATTCTTGGGGTGCCCCCCATCTTGGGGCCTCCTGGGGTTGGAGGTCAGACCTGGGCCAGCTCAGCTCAGCCCCTCGTCGGGGGGGAAGCACCCACACCTGCGGGTGTCGGATCTTCCGTCTAAGGGTGTACAGCGGGAGCTCTCCCAGGGGTCAGGCAGAGGCCCCGACAGGCAGGGCTGTGTGCCCACCTGGGAAGCAGCCTGCCGACAGGTGGAGGTGGCCCCTGGGCGACACAGACAGAGGTCAGCCTTGCCCAGCAGCAGGCTGTGGGTGGAGGGGGTGGGGGCCTGGCCGGGCCTGATGAGAGCCTGGCTGGCCCCCCAGGCATGGCGCGGCACGTTGGCCAGGTGGCGCTGCCGGCGTCTCCGGGCCGTCTACACCATCATGCGCTGGTTCCGGAAGCACAAAGTGCGCGCTCACCTGGCGGAGCTGCACAGGCGATTCCAGGCCGCGAGGCAGCCCCCCTTGTACGGCCGGGACCTGGTCTGGCCGACGCCCCCTGCTGTGCTGCAGCCCTTCCAGGACACCTGCCGGTTGCTGTTCTGCAGGTGCGAGCCCTCAGCCCCACCCCTGCGCTCTCCCCCACGCAGCTAGCGCCCACTGAACCCCCGGTGCCAGTCATCTGCACCTCACAAGCCCCATTTCATAAGCGGGAAAACAGGAGGCCGTGCACATTAGCTGGGTCCCCACACCCCCACGGTCATCAGCAGAGCCCCGAGGTCTCCTTGCTGGAAGCCTGCAGAGGACGGTGGCTGGCTGGGGCCAGGCAGTGGGGGAAACAGCATCTGAGTAGAGCTCTGAAGGTTGGGCAGGAGTTCTCCAGGAGGGAGCCCCAGCAACTGCTGTGCTCAGACCAGGAGGCTGAAACACAGGGTGGCCAGGGCCAGGCTGAGAGGCTGGGCCTTGTCCCATGGGGGAAGGGAGTAGAGGCCATGCATGTGAGTTCTGGGGGGCAGGACCTGGGATGGGGTCCATCTGACCACCAGGTTCCCTTCAGGTGGCGGGCCCGGCAGCTGGTGAAGAACATCCCACCTTCAGACATGGCCCAGATCAAGGCCAAGGTGGCTGCCATGGGGATCCTGCAAGAGCTGCGGCAGGACTGGGGCTGCCGGCGGGCCTGGGCCCGGGACTACTTGTCCTCTGTGAGTGCTGGGGCAGTGAAGGCTGGGCACCAAGGAAAGGCTCAAGGCTAGACCTTGCCGGTGTCCACCCCCAGTGTCCTCTCCCAGGGCTTGGCTGTCCAGCTGGCTTGGAGGCCATGTCCCTCTGCCAGCCCCTTGCCTCTGAAGTTTCAGCTTTCCACCCAGAACCAGCTGGCCTGGGCTTTACTGAACATGGTCTCCTCCACCCTCTGTCCCCCACCCACCCCCTTCTTGGGCTCATGCACCCCTATGCCATGGCTCCCCTTGGCCCTCACACAGGCACCGGGAGCTGTGCCCCTGGCCCCATTCTACAGGGGATGAAGGCCAGGGGCTCAAAGTTTTCCCTGGTCCTGTCTGGCCCCTGCCATCCCAGCTTCTGGGCTGGTGGGCAGCAGTGGAGGGCACAGGCCTGTAGAACCTGGGGCTGCAGCGGTCCGTGCAGGGGGGCCCCCAGAGAACCCAGGGGAGGCTGCACAAGGCCTCACTCAGTTTGGCTTCCAAAGCGAGGGGTAGCCATGTGGATTCACCAGACTTGCTGCTGGTCAAGCAAGGACCTCCCTCAGGCAGGCCCCATCTGTCCTCAGGCCACCGACAACCCCACAGCCTCTGGCCTGTTCGCCCAGCGACTGAACGCTCTCCGCGAGAAGGACGGCTTTGGGACTGTGCTCTTCTCCAGCCACGTCCGTAAGGTGAGAAGTGGGGCCGGAGAGCCGTAGCCCAGCCCAGCCCAGGGTGGAGGTTTTGGGAGCTGTCAGCTCCACCCCGGTCCGTGAAAACCCGGGCCCAGGGAGAGGAGGCCCTGGGGTGCGACAGGACCCCCAAAGCACCTGTCCCGCAGGTGAATCGCTTCAACAAGAGACAGGACCGGGCGCTCCTGCTCACTGACCGGCACCTTTACAAGCTGGACCCGGGCCGTCAGTACCGGGTGATGCGGACCGTGCCCCTGGCCTTGGTGAGCCCCGTGGGGGTGAGGTGGGGGCTTCTGCGGGGCCCCACCCCTCGAGCCTACCTGGGAAGACCTGAGCTTTCTAGAACTCAGCATCAGCTCGGGGTGGCGGGAAAGGCAGGGACCGAGCCGCGGGGCCCTCTTCCCCGCACCCCTGTCTCCTGCCCCACCATGCTCTTGCCCCTGTGGGGGAGGGGGTGCTGTAACCGCGTGGGGGCCCACCTGGTGCGTTGGCCACGCCGCTGGCGCCGGTTAGACATTAATGGGTGGAGGGCAGAAGGTTCAGCGTCCCGCCACGCCAGCACACTCAGGGTGAGAGCCGCAGGGCAGTGGTGGCACCGGGTTAGAGAGGCGCCCTTCGAGAACATTCCACCCTGTCCTGGAGCAAGTTCTCGGGAGCAGCGCCTGGGCCAGTCCTCCCCTTTGGGGCGGACCGGGGCAGGAGCCCGGGGGGGGCGGAGCTCGCCGGGGCCGCAGGGACAGCCGGGTGGGGAGGGGGTGGGCGGCTGAACCTAGCTAGCCCTCGCTGAGCAGGTGACCGGGCTGAGCGTGACCAGTGGGCGGGACCAGCTGGTGGTGCTGCACGCGCGGGGCCAGGACGACCTAGTCGTGTGTCTGCACCGCTCCCAGCCGCCGCTGGACAACCGCGTCGGGGAGCTGGTGGGGGTGCTGGCGGCGCACTGCCAGGGGTGAGTCAGGGGCGCGCGGGGGTGGGGGGGGGGCCCTCCCGGGGGTGGGCCCCGGGGCGCGGGGGGCGGGGCACTGCCAGGGGTGCGTCCTGGGGCGCGGGGACAGGGGGCGCACTGCCAGGGGTGAGTCCCGGAGCGCACAAGGGAGGGTGCTGCGCCTCGGATCCCACCCCGCCCCTGACGGCCCTCCCGCCCGGATTCAGGGAGGGGTGCGCCCTGGAGGTCCGCGTCTCCGACTGCATCCCGCTGAGCCAGCGCGGGGCCCGGCGCCTCGTGTCAGTGGAGCCGAAGCCTGAGCAGCCGGAGCCAGATTTCCGCTGCAGCCGCGGGGCCTACACCCTCCTCTGGCCGAGCCGCTGACCCGCCGGCCGTGCCCCGCACCCCCCCCCCCCAACGCCAGCCCCGCAACGCACAATAAAGGAAGCGTGTCTCTGCCCTTCCAGACTTGCATCTGTGGGTGGACGTCCGCACAACTGCCAACAACTTGGGAAACGTCACCCCAGCATCCTCCGCTGACCCCGTGAGGTCATGGGAAGGGGAGGAAGAGGCCTGGGGGCCCAGTTCGGTGGGGCAGCAAGACCCGGTTCTTCCAGGGACCCCAGACTGGACCCGCTGGATGTGCTGCCCACAGTCCAGGAGGAAAAGTGCCCTTTATGTTCCAGGGCCAGGGTCTCTTTTCCTGTTCCCCTCCCATAAGGCTCCTCGCCTTATCCCTACTGAGCCATGGGGAAGCTTGGGGCTCCCAGGGCCACCTCAGGGCAGGGCTGTGGCTAAGCGCAGCAGACACTGTCCCAGCTGCTGTGTCTCTGCTGAGTGCGGGCATTCCAGGCCCCAGGAACCCTCCCTCTGGGACACAAAGGACCTTGAGTCCCGGGCTGTTCAGAAACCACCCAGAGGAAGATGGATACGCCTCCCTCTCTCTGGCCAGTAGAGTGGGTCCCCAGCCCCTCTGTCCCTCAGTGTCCCAGCCCTGCCATCCCCACCCCCAGAAATCTCTGTCCGTAGGTGGCCCCTTCCTCCTGGGACTCACTAAATTTGGGTAGCATCCTTGCCTTGTTCCCAGTTGATATGGAAGGACGTGGCATGTATCCACCACAGCCACCTGGAAGGGCTCACAACTTCTGAGGCCTCCCCAGGGGGTGCGGCAGGTTGCCACCTGCTGGATGGGTGGCTGTGTTAGGCTGTTCCTGCCCTGGGAGCCCAGCCGGGAGGCCCATGGAGAGTCCCACATAGCCCGCTCCCACGTCTGTCCCCAGCTCTGGTGGCCTTGGGACAAGCCAGCCCTTCTCTGAAGAGCAAGCTGATGGTGAAGGGTGCTCAGATCCCCTGGGATCCGGAGAGTCAGCTGCTCTGCACAGCGGGTGGTCCTGGCCAAGGCTAGCAGGACAGCCTGCTTCCTTTCCGGGTTCTCTGCGGCTTTGTGAGGGAGAAAACACTTCCTGGCCACATTTGGGGGTCCAGCCCTGCTGGGGGTGCTCCATGCTGCAGGCCCAGAGCCAAAAGTGGTTTCTCCAGCCTCCAGACAGGAGCGTCATGGCTGCCGGGCAGGTTCCCCGGGCTGCAGGGTCTGGATACCAGCAGAGGGATCAGGAGACAGGCCAGGAAGAGGAAGGTCTGGACCCCTGTATTCAACCTCACATCAGTCTACAAATCCTCCAATTTGTCACATAAGGAGCGCTTTGCAAATGACACTCAGCCCCGTACCTGCCGAGGTCAGAGGTCAGTGTGAGCTTTATCTTGCTCTGTGACGGGGGGAGGGGACAGGTTCTGTGACCAGCCATCATGTGCTGAGTGGGGCAGATCCAGGCACACACGCCCCACAGCACACCAGCCGAGGCACTGGCTTTGCTGAGTCACGAGACTCAGCCTTTGCTGCCCCTCACGGGGCAGGGCCTCGGTCCCCTCTGGCCTCGGGTGGATGTCCGCACCCAAGCAGGATCCCCCAGACTCCAGGCTGGCCCTGAGAAGAGGTGGGGGCGTCTCCGGGCCCAGGCCTTGAGAAGCCAGAGACACGTGGCAAGGGGCCACGTCACAAGGGGCCACGTCGGGAAGAGCACGAGACACAGAGACAGAGGTGGGGCAGAGGCGGCCAGACCAGCAGTTTTGAGCAGTGGTGGTTTTAAGCCACTACATCCAGTGGTGATGTTTTTTGCACTGTGATAGGTAATGGAAACAAAGATTAAGCTTTCTGACCCATGTCTGCATATCTTTCCATGTCCCCAAGTCTAGCCAATGAGCTGTCATAAGTTATCTGAGCTCCTCTGCAATAGTCTTGCACATCTTTATCACATGAATTCGTGGGACCACTGGATTTGGGTGCTGTTGTAAATGATAACTTTTTATTTTTATTTTTTTGTTAACTTTTTAAAAAATGTTATTTATAAAGAATAATAGGGGCACCTGGGTGGCTCAGTCGTTTAAGCGTCCAACTTCGGCTTAGGTTGTGATCTCATGGTTCATGAGTTCAAGCTGTATGTCCGGCTCTGTGCGGACAGCTCAGAGCCTGGAGCTGCTTCAGATTCTGTCTCCCTTTCTCTCTGCCCCCCCTCCCCACCCCCCCACTCGTGCTCTGTCTCTCTCAAAAATAAAATTAGAAAAATATAATAAAAAATAAAAGAATAATACAATAACTATATATCCAATACTAAGAGTGAACCGTGAACATTTTGCCACGTTTGGTTCAATTTTTCCTGAAATATTTTCAGGTTAATTGTAGATACCACACCATTTCATCCCTAAATATATCAATACGCACCTCTCAAAATAAAGCATGTTATCTTACATGACCAAAAGCTGGGATCAAAACTAACAAAACGTGTAATAATTCCCTTATGTCGCTGAACACTTGGTCAACGCTCAGTTTTCGCCAAATGTCCTTTTACAGTTGGTTTGTAAGAACTGTTATCAAAATAAAATCCACATATTTGTCTCAATCCTTATCCAAGCAAAGGTCCCACATGGTAAGCCTCTTTGTCCTGTGAAGTTCTCAGAATCCACTTGTGTGCTCAGCATTGTGGACCCCAAGTTTATAGACGAGGGGCTTGGCCATGGAGAGGGGTTGTCAGGAGGGGCCCAGGAGCTGGGTGAAGACCCCTCCTCCCACAGAAGGGGCCAGCTGTGCAGTCTTGGGTCCTGACCCACCGAGCCGTCCCACTGAGGGTGGGAATTGCTCACGTAGAGCGTGTCCGTGCCTGAAGCCTACACACTCCTGCATAAGGGCCCCAAAATGTGCCCACGGAATGCCCCTGCTGGCTCCTGAGGGGAAAAGAGGGGAGTGGTGTGGGGGCCTGGGGAGGCCAAGCAGCTTGGGGCTTGTCTGGAAAGGGTGTTCACAGGAGAGGGTGGTCTGCCCATGGTCTTGGAAAGACCTGAAACAACAAGAGCGCCTGGCTCACCAGCTGCCCATCGGATGGGCGCAAACCTCCTGGCTGAGGGGAGTCGTCGGACCTCCTCATGGGGCCACACCAGGTGGGCCCTCGGGATGCACTTGCGGCAGGAGGAAAGGGCCCCCCAGGGCGCGGCCAGCCCAAGGGAGGGTCACCAAAAGGAGGCAGGAGCCTTTTATGGGAGAAGACCTCTCCCAGACACCCCCAGCCAAGGCCAGACCTGGTGCTGTGCTTGAGCTGTCAGCACAGAGCCCAATGCGGGGCTCAAACTCCTGAACCATGAGATCATAACCTGAGCCGAAGTCAGATGCTTAACCGACTGAGCCTCCCAGGTGCCCCAGCGCTACGATTTTCACTTATATGTCTGGGTCTGTGATCTGTCTGGAATTAGTTTTTGCGTCTGGTGTAAAGTAAATGTACATATTCATTGGTTTTCCCACATGGACATTCAGTATCCAGCACCATTCGGTGACAGTATCTTCCCTCCCGTAGACCTGAGTCCTACTTTCATTTACCGATGGTGTTTTTGAGTCTACCTCTCCGTGTGTCTGTGTGTTTAGAGGTGGCTTTGAGTATTACCGTGTGCCTATGTGACCCGTCACAGGCCCCCTGCATTGACGTGCCACGTTCCTGTGATCCCCACCCTCCCGTGTTTTCCTAGTGCAAAGCCTTATCTTGTGAGAACGGAACTCTCTTCGTCCTCTTCTTTGTGATTTTAATACCTGGATTTCATTTATCTCCTGCATTTTTATTCTCAAGACTTCTAGAATAGTTCCTGCAGGGAAAAAAAAAAAAAAAACTTAAATAATACGCAGGGCAGTGAAAGTCACTATCGCCTTCTTGATTGAGGGGATGCCTGGATCGTGCTCCCACGTGGGGGATTTTGGCTTTCAACCTGAGATTATTCAGGAAATAGATGCATTTCTTTTTTTATGCTTTTTTTTAATATGAATTTTTGAGAGGCAGAGACATAGAGCAGGAGCAGGGGAGGGAGTAGAGAGAGAGGGAGGCACAGAATCTGAAGCAGGCTCCAGGCTCCGAGCTGTCCGCACAGAGCCTGAGGCGGGGCTCGAACCCATGAACTGTGAGATCATGACCTGAGCCGAAGTTGGGTGCTTAACCAACTGAGCCACCCAGGCGCCCCTAGACACATTTCTTATTGAGTTTTTAATTGTAAATGCACTTGACTTTTATCAGCTCTCTCTCTAGGGTCATGAAGAGGCTTGTCACATAGCATATAAATTACATTAAATACAAGCATTATATTATCATGTTTTAAAATCATCCAGAAGAAATAACACATGGAAATAGCCAGAGAGGCGCACAGTTACCACACAATCAGGAGGACACGCCCTCCTACCTTCGAGGCCCCTTGATACCCACAGACAGGAAGAACAGACCAATGCAAGACAGGGAGCCCACAGCACAATCCCATTCTAAGGTTATGAAATATGGTAAGAACAGCAACAAAAACTGCTGCCCTCCCAATAATGTTCTTGGGGTAAATTACTAGGTATCTGGGAGATGTTACTAAAATTAATCTAGGTTGATAAAAGTATCAAATGTAAAAGAAAACTTGATTCATATACATCTAAATAGTTCTATCACCTTAGCGATGGGAAATCTTTGGTTTTTAATGTTTGTTTGTTTTTGAGAGAGAGAGCTCTCAGGAGGGGCAGAGAAGGTAGAGTAGAGGATCTGAAGCGGGCTCTGAGCTGCCAGCACATATCCCAACCTGGGTCTCAAACTCACGAACTGTGAGATCACAACCTGAGCCAGAGTCCGACACTTAACCGACTGAGCCCCCCAGGTCTCCCAACGGGAAATCTTTGTAAGCATGAGAGCAAGGCATAGAATGTGACAGAAAAATGTACATGTATGCATATATGTGTGTCGTATGTCTGTACAGAGCTATGTGAAAAGCAAAATGCTCTCATAAAAAAGAAAAAAAAACCCATACGTGAAATAACATGG